ATGACCAGAGGCGAGGCGTCGAATAGTTCAGAGTGTTCACTGAACACCTTAAAAAAGCTTCCTTTTTAGATCTTTTTTTTATTAGGTAAATATTCTCGCTATTTTGCTACTTAACATTTTTTATAGTAGCTTTTCCAAAAAGATTAACATAAACACAAAACGTACAATACAAACAAAATTTCACATATGTTAGTTACACCCAACATTACTTATAATTAATAAAAGAGAAAACACATTCCTCTTAAAATATACTAAGGTTCAGAATAAAAACTGCACCGCGCTGCTTACATAGCATGCAAATGAAATAACATTCACATTGGGACTATGTTCAATATTGAATAAACACAAAACATACAAACAAATATAAAAATAAAAGAGAAAACAAGCCTCGCAAAATATGTTATACAAACTAAATACAAAAGAGAAAAAAATGACTGAGCGAAAATCGCTTTACATTTGACTAGAGGTTCAGTCGACTAAATTGAACCGCAAGTTCATACAAAGCGTGCAAATACAATCAAAGTCACGGTTGCCGTTTTATATGGGCAAATGGTTCAGTAAAAAAACTGAACCGTGCATAGTAAATACAAGTAAAAGAGTATTAAATGAATGCATGAAAGTTTCTTACTCTTATGTAGAGGTTGGTCAACCTCTACATAATGACAAAGTCATTATTGCAATTTTATATTAGCAAATGGTAAAACTAAAGAACAAAATTAAAGAAATTTGAAGTGAAAAATAATTTTTAGAAATGGATAAATGTGTGATTAAAGATTTGATTTAAATGTCTTTTTTTAAACGATCTTCTGAAAAAAAGGTTTTAATTCATAAAATGACCAACTCCAGATATGAAGAATTTGGTACCTGATGTAAAAATGTCGAAATATGTGATAAGTCGCCGTTTTCCTACAGCCATTTACCACAAAAACCAATGGATCACAGGCTGTGAACATTTAAATAAATTGTTTTGTTGGTCTTGTATGCTTTTTGCTTGTGGAAAGGACAAAACTCAGAAGTAGGGGGAATACGTTATAGTTGGAATTCTGTTTTGATCAAATTGTGAACACCTTGCCAAAAAGCTGACGCCTCGCTACTGGTGATGACATATTATCCCCGGCAAAAAATCTTCTTTAACATCTTAGTCACTCCGGTGCACTTTATATAGAAACATATGGACGTTGGTCCCATATTGTTTTTACTCTTAAATTGCAAAAAAAACGCTCTCACAAGCAACAACACCAACGTCAGACCAGCCTTAATTATGAGTATTTAACAATGCTTGATACTTTTCTTACTCTTAGTTATCTTCAAAAAGATAAGAACACGAAAACAATACTAAATGTGATTAGAATGTGATGTATAAAATGAAGAAAGTAGTCGTGTGTATGACGTGCTGGTGAACGACATTTTACATATCCGTTAACGTTTGCTGGGATATTAAATTCTGCAATTGTGACGTAAAAATCACTTCTAGTCGTAGTATCAAAATCTAGTCGTAGTGTAAGTCAATTTGTTTTTCTTGAATTTGGCGCCTGAAGACATACTGATAAGGTCCAATTAGTCGCTCGACGATTGCCTTCAACCTTTCACATTGTACATTTTGCAGAACTTTATGTATAATGTTTAAAAAACTAATCTTGCAGTATCTTCTTTTTTGTGGAATCGACAACGCAGACTTAAATTCAAACCATTGGGCATACATTCATCTAACCATATTTAATCTATCCAATGGCTTTGAACAGATCAGGGACAACATCGGCGCCTACTCCTTTGTTATTTTTGAACTGCGCTATAGCTGTTTAAATTTCATCATAGTTAATGATTTTTTAATTGGTTTTTGTAATTAATAACTAATATTAAAAGTAAAATATAATGAAATCATGTTCCTCAATCTAAACAGAACTTAATATAAATTAGTCACTGGTTTTTTTTGACTGGATACGGTCCAGTTTACAACCTTTTTACAGTGATGGGATTAATTTAAAACCCTAATCAACTCATAATTAATCGAATCCAACTCTAGAATTTCCGGTTAAAAATGATTATAAAATATATATGTATATATATTTCAATATAATTTTATTAATGAAATCAAATTTTCTATTAGTTTTTTCGACGAATGACGAAAACGAAAATCTTCATTTAAAGCAAAAACTCCTTTTTTTATCATAATATGACGTAATTGAAAAAAGATTATGAACAAATTTGACGTACATTTGATAAAAAAATATTTAACTAAATTTTCCTTTTATGGAAACATTCGATCGACACTTGCATTTTTAGTTTCTAAAATTTACATTTAAAAAAAATTACTCCCCCTAATTAGAAGCTTGAACATCGTTAGATTCGAATTTTATTTCAGACAAAGATACAAATATGATTCTAATATTATCTTAAATAAATTTTACTATTTATTTCTAGTTTTATTGATGTAACAGTTCCACGTTATATTACATATTTATAAATATTATTATATATTTGCTAACAAAACATCACATCTTAAGGCAAAACAAATAAATAGCATGATAGACTTTCTCATGGACTCTATTGCTTGATATAAAGTTTTTATAGCATGTTATCTATTAACATACTTGCATGCCTTGTTAGCTTTATTTTGTGTTGTTTGAATTCTGAACTAATATTTTCTATGACAAGACTTAAAATAAATTATTGTTGTTGGACTATCAACAAATGGGATGACTATTACCAAATTTTCATTTTATTTCGTTTTCACATTGCCGATTACCAAAGTACAGCCAATATCTGCCAATAATACCTTTCATTAATGGATTCATTGTTGTAACTCTGCCATCTATTAAGCACTAGCACGTAAACGGGAATCTGCTACAAATTGTTGCCACATTTTATTAATAAACATAGTTCACAAGGGTTTATTACAAAGAGTTTGGCAGCTATAGAGGTATGAATTTATAAAAATTTTAAAAGTTTTATATATTACTGCAAACTTAATTTTTTAAACTTTATAATAATAAAATTATTAGTGATTTTAAAAAAAAATGTAAAATAAATATAACTATCCAAATGGTATCATATGATAATATAAAGAATGGAATTATAGAGGCAATATATAATTGACATAATAATTTACTTAAAATAGTAAGCACCTTTTTCTAAATGTGGAATGAATCGAGTAAGTCATAATGTAAAACCTCTTAAGAAAGCAAAATGGACAAATTTAATGGCAATAAGTTTAGTATTACAATAAATCAGCAATTACAATTGTAAGGTATTTATTGCTATTTGTATTGCAGTTAAAGCCATTTATTGGAAAATATCCCATTAAATTCAATTAATGGGGAGTTGAATATTCATTTATAATGCATTATATTTCAATATTTGTTTCTTGAAAAATATTAGCGTATTTAGACGTATTTCGTTAATGAGTAAAAAAAATTAATATAACAGACATAATTGTTGTTATTTTTGAATAAAATTGTAAAATTGAATTGCCACATCAATTGATTTTGTTATTTTTGTTTTGCAAATGACATAAAAAGTGAAAAGCGAAAAATTAAAGTGAAACTTAAACTATATTTATCACTGTTGGTGTATGCACAATTTTATTTCTACTATTGATATAGGTATATCTTCATAATTTATTTTTTTAAACATCACAAATATAATTTCAATTTTATGCAACACTTTCTTAAAATAAAAATATTTTATTAAGTACTCAAAAAATTATCAGACCTAATTCTTTAATTATTAATTTTTTAAAAATTACCTATTGTACCTATTGTACACAACACAACAAAAATATATGTCAAAAAAAAGCATTTTACAAATTTTAAAAGTGATGCCAATTTGTTTTAACCAGACCAAATGTTATTTTTACAAATCTAAAAAAAAATTACGACTATTATATATTATTAGGGGTATTCAGGCAACAGATTAGTTGCTTAGTAGATTATTACAACAAATATTTGCATACAAAAAAGAAACTAAGCAGAGAATGTACTATTTCGGAGATTCTCAGATTAGTGAAAATTTGATTAATAGTGCTGCCAGTACCAAGTGGCGGCGCTATGAGCTTAGGGTGTCTCAAAAAGAAAATTCAAAAATAATAACATAAATTAATAAATAAAATTAAGTAAAACTATAATTTTTAAAGAAATAAAATATAATTAAAACGTATAAAATTGAATATTCTACTTCTTGATATATGACACGTTTGCAATTTTAGTTATATGATAAATTATATGATATGATAAGATAAATTATATAATAAATTTAAATATTATTAAAATTTACGAATATTTGAGTATTTCACTATTAACATACGTTTCGCTAGTGCTGTTGATACGAGTGCTGCCAAGACATTTGCACACAACAAACTAATCAGATTACGCATTTTGGGTCGTTCAAGCAACAGATTAACATCAAAATGCTAATTTTTTTCTATATGAAGTTTTTTAGTCTATTAAGCAATTAATCTGTTACCTGAATACCCCTCGTATAAAGCAAGCAAATTACATTCTGTATAAAAATAAGTAATTACCACATATTGAAAATTAAATTGAATACAAAATTAAAAGGAATGGTAAATATGTTGAAAATTTCAAAATGAAAAACTGAAATTTTTCTTTTTTTCCAATTTTCAAATTTATGAAATTTTTGAATTTTGTTTGAATTTTAATTTACATATAATTTTTAACATATGATTGCAATATTCGTTGGAGTTTTCAATGAAGGTTCACAATAATTCGCTTATTACATTGGCAACGCTTGTTTTTCTGCTAGTCGATGTGCTTGCTCAGTATACCTATACTGGCCGGAGTTGAGAAAATAGTGTTGTCGTTTTGCGTATATTTCGACCAGTATAGGTCAGTTATTTGCTGTTTTTTGTCATACTTGCGAGCAACCGACAAAGCCTAATTATATTATAAATTGTTATTACAGTGTTCATAATAAATTAAACAATTTTTCGAAATTTTATTAAACGCCCTGTGCTACTGTAATTTCAATTCACATTATTGTAATAAGATATGCTTTGTGTGGATGTCACAACAAGCTACATCCATACAATAACATATGCAGCAGACAGAAAAATGATAAACGTCAAACAGTAGAGAACGCTTGCCGTGAGTGGTGCATTTGTGGAGTTTTGTCGGATGAGAATTTAGCATTTTAATTAATAGTTTAAGTTTTTCTTAGTGCCCAGTGCTAATTAAATTTTAATTAATTTCCATCATTTAAATCGATTACCTAATAAACATAATTTACACTTAATAATTAAATTAACCGACCATTTTTTATTTGGAACTGGTACTACTGATTGAAGACTATACGACTTCTGTGTTGCGGAGGCGTTATTATCGTGCTAAAAATTAAACTTGTTAGTTTAGATAAAGAAATTTTTACAAATACTCTGTGATTATATATATTTACACAAAATAAAATAGCAGAATTGCAATTGCATACGAAACAATCCATAAAGTGCACTTAGCAACGGATTGAATAAAAGTAAAGAATTTCGTTTATTTTGTTTTGTACGCGGAGTTCAAGTGTCTACGGCTAAAGCGAAGTTAAATTAGTGAAGCGGAGGCTTATTCAAGTGTCGCATAATCTATACTACATATGGAACAAAAACGCCATAACGCCATAGCGCCATAACGTTCAACAACGCCGCATTCATCGTATGCTTATTTTTATCTTTATAATTTTACGTGTTCAACGTGTGCATAAATTCTGTGTAATTAATCTTAAGCCAGCAGCACAAAGTGCATAAACTGTTTGGTCCCCTTATGCTCAACACAATCTACTACGTATTTAGTGTTTACTTGCTCATCAAATCCCACTAAAAGTGTCAATGCCTCTGCCGCCTAAGATCGTAAACTACCCGCATCTTCTGTATTGTCTTCCACAGCCTGCGTAAAATTAATCTTCAATTGAACAGAAACCATAACGAAAATATTCTTTCACGAATTCCCGTCGCGATAGCTTCAGTTAAAACGTCAACAGCATCATTTGTTCGATTGTCAAAATTTTTGTGATTACAAATTGCGTCCAAACGAACTAAAATATATAATTCGATTCCATTGTTCATAACTTAAATAAGATAAATTATTGTGCTTTCAATTTCGAATGTGCTAGACAATCAATTTTAAGGTAAGCAAAAATAAATTTATTTGAATTTATAACCTGTTGAGGGAACCGGTCTTCAAAAGGGATTCATATAGTTATTTTTTTTTTCTGTTATTGCATATAATTAAAATTTAAATTACACTCTTTAAAAACTGAAAAAATTATCTATATAATTTATTTTTTATTTACTTTTTGAATACATATATTATAAATATGTTTAATCTGATTTATTTAATAACGTTTGATGAGGTAATTTTATATATCTTCTATGTTATCAAAACTTTTTGCATGAATTTATTAATTTATCAGATAGTGTTATCAATAATATCAGCAGATTCCTATTAGCATTCACATTATCGCAAATAAAACGGAAACTAGACATTTCAGAATGGGAAAGCCGAATGATTACAATTCTTGTACATACTCATATTTAATGTTTGAAATCTACATACATACGACTATATCTTAAACTAGTTTATACATACTTTATACACATATTTGTAATATTTACCAAGTAAATTTGTTTTAAAGGCTTAAAGATAATGGATTTTGTTTATACGAGGGCTGCCATTTAAGTTTTGCGCCTAACAATGAAAGCACAGTGGTTAAGAAATGAAAATATTTTTATTGTTTTTCGAAATATTCAACAAATTGATCAATACATTTTGGCATTCGATTGAACCATTTTTCGAAACTGTTTTGCCACTCTGAAATTGGTGTCTCCAAAACTAGAGGTTTGAATGCCTCAACGTTCTGTTAGGGCGTAGAAAAAACTGCATTATTTTTTAATATTTTTTAACAAGAACAAGTCATTTGGTGTCAAGTGTGAATAACTCATCAGTTTTGAGTGCTCAGAAACTTTTGTTTGAGCTAATGTATATGCGCTCGCGTTGTCGTGGTGGAGTCCAGCAAATAAATAGTTGTTCAAGCGGTACAGTTGGCACCATAATCGAGTTTTTTGAAAAAATATGCGATCATTAGCTTGAAGTTACTCTGTCCGCGGACGACTTTTAGCGGGTTTTACTCACTTTGGAAGATCCAAACAGTGAATTGTTGTTTTGTTACGGGCTCTTAGGCGTAGATCCATAACTCGTCACTTGTCACGATGTTGTAGGCATGTTTTGAACTACCTCGGGCATATTTTTTTAGCATTTCATTGCACCAACAAACACGTACTTTCTTTTAAGCGATTGTCATATTATTGGAAATCCAACAGGAACAAATCTTTCTGACAACTAAATATATATGTAAAATTGAATGTATGCTGGTCTTACTAATGTGCAAGGACATCTCTATCTCCCGGCATCCGATCCATCTCAATCATTTCTCACACTGTATCAATGTTTTCTAGTACAACAGCCGTTCTTAGACGACCTTCACGAAATTTGTTGTGAAAAAAAACGGACTATCACACTTGAACTCATTTTACAGTCGCTGCAGTAGTGCTTCATCACCAAAAGTCGAACTAAGTTGATCAATGCATTCTTTTCTGG